ACCAAGGGAATTTTTTTATCAAATAATGCGCCTGGAGATTCAGGAAGTTCTAAAATCAGGGGGATTGATGTTTCCTTAAAAGGAAGTGTTGACAACAAAACTTCCAAACCTAATCAACTTGACATGAAGTCTAAGAAATGTCGACTTGATAAGAGTGGAGCCACCTCAAATGTGGGTCATCCAGCACGCAGAGGGGACCCACATGTCAAGGCCAAATATGCAATTTTGGAACCACATCTTGCTATTAGTAGGCTTTAACACAAAATCAGGTCAAATTTTAATTCCTGCCTAGCACTGTTAAATACACCTTCATTGCTTCCATGGTAATTTTGGGTTTGGAGACCATCACACAATATAACATTGTGCATTTTGAAGCAACAAAAAGTCAAGAAAATGGAAATAACCAATGCACTATGGAGGAGTGTGCTACTCAAGAAGAGGAAGTTGTTTGTGAAACCCATTGAATGAGAGATGACTATTTAAATTGTCTCGTGTATGGGACTTACTTTGTCACCTCCATCAATTTGACTAGTTATGTTAGATTTCAAAGAAGTCATTATGCTCTCCTGGAATATTCAGGGAGCCTATAATAATAAGGCTAAAAGACACATGATGAATTTGAATAGAAAATACTCTCCAATTATTTTAATCGTTATGGAAAGACATATTTGTTTTTATAAAACAAAATCCTTATGGGATAGAGATGGATATGTGAGTGTTCACTATGTGGACGCACGCGGTCAATCTGAGGGAATTTGGGTGTTAAAGCCATATGTTAGTAACATTGTAACTGGCGTGCATGATGTCTTTATGGATACTATTACTAACAAACTATCATTGGGAAGTTCCTCGTGGTATGTAATTGAAATTTATGCTAATCCCATGTATATTTATCGTATTGAAGTGTGGCTTCACCTCATTGACCATAGGAACAATTTTGATGGTCCTTGGGTGCTGATTGGAGATTTAAACGACATTGTTCATCAGAGTGAACAAAAAGGAGGTAATTCAAATCATTTTAGGGCAATTGCTTTGTTGAATTTCATTGATAAATGTAATTTAGTTGAAGTAGATATGACTAGTGGAAAGTTCACTTGGAATAGGCCTTGTACTGGTAATTGAAGGGTCTATCGAAAGCTGGATACGGCCCTGGTTGGCATTTCTTAGTGCATGGCTTTACCTGATGTATATGTTAAGGTATTATGTAAATTTCATTATGATCACAATCCCATTATCCTTAAGTGTAAACTTCCCCTCCAATACCATGATCCACGTGCTTTTAAGTTTGAGGAAACTCGGATCACTCACCCAGAATACTCGAATATAGTCCAGACTATTGGGGAGAAATCCCTAGATTTCATTGTAACTTGTCTCCAAAATATGCAACACAATTATATCCTTTTTAATAAGGAAACTCTTGGCAATATCAGCAAACGAAATCACAACATTGAGAAGAGACACATTGGTATCCAACTCTCTCTGGAGAAAATATATTTGGAAAGACTAGTTTATCTCCAATGCGAGCTTCAAATGGAGTATGATAAGATCCTCACGCAAGACGAGATTCATTGGTATCAAAATTCTAGAGTTGATTAGATTAAATTGGGAGACCGCAACACCAAAATTTTCATACCAAGTCATTAATCAGAAATAATAGAAATAAAGTACATGGCCTTCATCTTCCCAATAGTGTTTCATGCAATGATGATATTATTCTCAAGGAAGAAGCACTGAATTTTTTCAAAGGTGTTTTATTCCTTACATATCTTATAATCCCTTCTAGTTTAGGTGACTTAAATATGGCCATAATCCTTACTAAAAAAGCCTAACAGTCTTTGACTCAATAGGTGACGAGGGAAGTAGCTACTTATGCATTGAATCAAATGCACCCTTTCAAGGCGCTTGACCTTGATATATTCTAGAGTATTTTATTTAAATATTTTTGGCATATAGTTAGAGATGACGTTGTCCAACTTATATCAGATGCTATCATGATAGGTAGTTTTGACCCATCTCTTTCTGAGACTCTTATCGCATTAACTTCTAAGTTAGATACCCCTACAATTTTAAGGAATTCAGGTCCATTAGCTTGTGCAACACTATTTACAAGCTTATTACAAACGTTATGGTTATCAGATTGTGTCTTTATCTAAATCACATAGTTAGACCTTCCAGAGTAGTTTTTTTGCCTAGTAAAAGAACAACTAATAATTCCATTATCCTCCAAGAAGCAATTCATTCTATGCGTAAATCTAAAATGAAAAAAGGATGACATGGTGCTTAAAATGGATCTTGAAAATTCCTATGATCATGTTAATTTGGATTTTTTGGAATATTTTTTGAAGCAAAATGGGTTTCCCCTTATTACTATAAAGTTTATCATGCACTGTGTAACTAGATTCTATATGTCTATTCTTTGGAATGGAAGATGACTATCATATTTTGTTCCGACTAGAGGATTACGACAATGTGACCCCCTTTCACCCTATCTCTTTGTTATCTGCATAGAATTATTGTCACAGACAATCATCAGGGCAGTCAATGTAGAACATTGGAACCTGTTAGGTTATCTTGTAATGGCCCCACTCTATCGCATTTATTTTTTGTTGATGATGTTCTTCTTTTTGTGAAGTTTTCTAACTCCAAAGAAAGGATCATTTCTGATGTCTTGAATTTTTTTTCCATGTTTTATGGCCTTAAAGTGAATGTTGCTAAATAAAAATTGTTCTTCTTCCGCTAGCACTAAGAGGAGTAAAATGAATCTAATTGTCTCTAACACAGGTATCAAGCAAACTCTTACCCGTCTTCAATGCAAAGACTTTGAGTTTCTAAAGGATAAAATAAAACACAAGTTAGCATCTTGTCAACAAAATGTTTTAAATAAGACTAGTCGTTTGACTCTAGTTAAGTATGTCCTGAACTCCATCCCAAATTATTATATGCAAGTGGCTTGGCTACCTCAGCCAACTTGTGAAAAGGAAAATCAAACTCTAGTGTGCATCTCGTTGGCTAGAATAAAATCACAAACTCCAAAGAGCTGGGTGGTCTTGGGATTTACAAAGCAAGAAAGGCCAATAATTCTATGTTGGGTAAGCTGGTTTAGAGTCTCCATCGGGATTGTGATTTCCTACAGGTCCAAGTTTTGAAGCATAAGTACATTAGTGAGGAAGTATTCCTTAATACGAAAAAGAAATCGAGATCAGTTGCTTGGAATGTAATTATGAAAGCTCACTCTGATCTTAAAGATGACTTTGAATTTAGATTGGAGGATGGGAACTCCTCTTTTTGGTTTTCCAATTGGTATTGGGTAGGGAAATTAACGGAGCCGGTTCTCTATGAGGATATCCACAATCTGAAAATGTGAATGAATGAAGTTTACTTGGATGTGAATTGGAAGTTCAATTCATTATTACTTGTGACCGTCTAAAAGCGTTTCCGATTTATTTGAATTCTATGGTGCTTGGTCGATTAAAATGAAAAAGAAATTTAGACGGTATTTATACTGCTCGGGTGGTTATAACTGCCTCAACAAACTTGAATTCATTCAGAATATAACATACAGTAACTCTTGGAAGTATGTGTGACATATTCCTACTCCTGAGAAGGTGAAATTCTTTCTTTTGATGACGTTACACAAGTCCATTTCAACGAGATCGATGTTGTGTCATCGTGGTATACTCCAGATGAATCTCTATCCTAGATTAAATCACGACGTTGAGATGACTCTATACTGCCTGAGAAACTTTGAATTTTCTACCCACTTTTGGAAATCTATTGGCTTCTTGGACCCACTATTATTCCAATGAGATAGTTTATATGATTGGATTAGATATATGTCGATGGTGGCTCTATCTTTTTGCTTGTTTGCTGGTGGTTGTGGTGCACTAGGAACAAATTTTGTATTGTGAATGAAGTGATATCTTTCTATACTTTGAATCTCATCACAATGAATTATGTTAACAAAATGTTTTCTCGAGCATAATCTGTCTCACCCAACGAGAACGATCACATGAAATGCACACAAAGATAAAATATGATTTTGAATGTTGATGGCAGTAGTCTCTATAATTTCAACATTTCAAATTTTGGTGGATTGATTTGAAATGCTGATGTTGTTTAAATTTATGATTTTGTGGATAATATTAATTATCCAACATCCTTCGTGTTAAGCCGATGGCGCTATATCATGATTTGCACGTGGTTTAGGAACTACCTAATATGCTATTTTAACTCCAATTTTATTATCAAACATCTAGAAACACATAAAGTTGATAATGATGCGGTTTTCGAGTCTTTTGCGAAACCTACGGTAATGAATATCGCTCTTCTACTAGCTAATGTTATTGAGATATTATTTTTTAGATGATTTCTTACTTTTCTTTTTCTTTTTCTTTTCCCGTAAGAAATATTACACTTGAGTCAACATCTTTTAGAAAAATTAATCTTTCCACGTACCAAAACAAAAAGAAAAGAATTTGTTACCTAGTTTTTCTAATTGCCTATATTAGTTAAATTCCGGTTGTAATTTCCATTTTCTTCGTAAAAAATTAACATATTAAAACAATTTCATAAACAAAAACTAGTTCCAATTCGGCAAAGAAAGGAAACAATAATCGTATTGTTGCTGCGTTTGAGTTGAAATACCGTAACCATGTAAGAGATCTGGTTGCAATGTCAATTGCAACGTGGTAGGAAGAAGACAAGTGGCAGTACCGTGTTTAACAACTCAAATTTCTCCGAATTTAGTATTACATTAACGTTCCTTAAACACGTTTCAGATCTACCTTCCCACACAAGTAAGTCCCTCTTTCTTTCTCTCATGTTTTTTATATGTCATGTTATGTTAGCATAGGATCTTTTGTTTTTGTTTTTGTCTTTTTTCTGTTTTTGATGTTTTTTTTTCATTGATTGTACGTGGAAGGTTCTACTTTTATGACATTATAGATATCATGCTGCATTTCCAATAGGTGATGTGCTTGTGGAGATTAGATAGAAACACAATGGGTTCTGAAAATTGGATGAAAAGTGTACATGATCAAAAACAACCTCTCTTTTCGTTCGGATTGATATCCGATGTGCAATATAGTGATATTCCTGATGGTCGTTCGTTCCTCGGCGTTCCGCGATACTATAGGCATAGCATTCTTGTGTTACAGAGAGCAGTTCAGAGTTGGAATAATCATCATAGACATAAATTTGTGATAAACTGTGGAGATATTGTTGACGGGTTTTGTCCGAAAGATCAATCTTTTAATACTGTCAAGAAAATTGCAGACGAATTTGAAAAATTCGAAGGACGGGTACATCATTTAATTGGAAATCACTGTCTATACAATCTACCTCGCAACAAGTTACTTCCGTTGTTGAAGATTCGGAGTCTTGAAGGCCATGGTTACTACGATTTTTCGCCTGTGCCTGAGTATAGATTTGTTTTTCTCGATGGATATGATATAAGTGCGGTCGGTTGGCCTCGTGATCATCCGAGAACATTGGAAGCTGTGAAGTTACTTAGAGAGAAGAATCCTAATGAAGATAAGAATAGTCCAACGGGATTAGTTGGACTTGAAAGAAGGTTTCTTATGTTCAATGGAGGCGTTGGAAAGGAACAAATGGAATGGTTGAACAATGTTCTTCAAGACGCAACAAAATCGAAACAAAAAGTCGTGGTTTGTTGTCATATGCCTCTAGATCCTGTCGCATCGTCTAAGGAAGCATTGCTGTGGAATTACGATGAAGTGATGAGTTTGATACATAGATATAGTTGTGTGAAGGTTTGTTTTTCTGGTCATGATCATAAAGGTGGATACTCCATCGATTCGCACGGTATACATCATAGAATTCTTGAAGCTGCATTGGAATGTCCTCCTGGTAGAGATGCATTTGGATATGTTGAAGCTTATCATGACAGAATATCACTTTATGGTACTGACAGAATGCCAAGTACAAATATGTATTTTAATAATGCTTAGATGTGACCAAATGGTTGCTCTTACTTATTATGTTTGTGTTAGTTCTGCGGTGACGAGAATTTTGATTCTGAGTGAATTGATTATGTAGAATTGATTTCTGCTTTATTTAATAAACATGGATAAAGAAACTTGCATTGAAAGTAAATACAAGTATCTCATGATTTATTCATCATTCTGATATAAAAGCATAAACTTAGAACTATAAAGCATTATAAAAACAATCTACCATGAAGTTTCCTTCTTATGTCACTCAAATTCACTCACTACTTCTGTGACTTTCCCTTCCTCTTTTCGATATAAAAGAACACGCCCAAGGACACAACCGAGAAAGCACTGAAACAAATAGAGCAAATATCAAGTGTCGCGTGGCGTCCACTGATCGCGTTAATTTCAAACAAATTAGTGCTCTTATCAGCACTCGTGGTTTGTCCGTAACCAACTTCCACATCGTTGGAGTCAAACGCGTAGGCGCGTACAAAGTACGTGGCCTGAGGCACAACGCGCTCGATCAACCAGTCGTAGGTTCGTACGGTTTTGTTGGAAGCATCATAGGGCATTGCTACCATTTTTTGTTGGCAAGTCTTGTCCCTTGAGAGATCGTCCACGGTCTTTCTCCATGCGCGGTCTTGTTGGCTTATGCGCGCGTAACATAACTTCAGTTTTATTGTTTTGTAAGAAGAGTCTGTTCCTGCTGGGAAGGTCTTGTTTAGAGACCATGTTCCACTGATTTTGTCCACTCCAGATGACAAAACTGCATACAAATTTTCATAATAAAAATCAACTCAATTCATAAAATCAAAGACTGCATAAAAATTGTCAGATTTTTTCTTGAGAAATGCAAGTGGCATGATAGCAGAAACCCGATATCATGTCAAGAAGCCTAACTCATTTCTACAAAAGAGTTTGTAGGATGAGGATTACATCCACTTGTAAACACGTAAACATATATTTTGGCTACATATTATCTGATGTGAGACACTTAACAGTATCTTTGAGATTATTCAAATTCAAGAGAAAGGGTTCATCAAAATTAAACATGATCTTATTGTTACTTACCTTCTCCTTGCTTGGGGGAAGCGGTGACAACAAGGGTTCTTTTCAAGGACGAAAAGAGAACCTTTCCATAACAAACTTCAGCTAAACAGCAGAGAAAAAGTGATGCTACCACAAGCCTGTGAGCTGCCATTCTCCAACAACAAAAGCACTTATGTGAAGAAAAGTCAACTTGTGAGAGGGAGAAGACTTGAGAGAGCACCTAATGAGTTGGAATTGGAATGATATGATGAGAAGAATCTGAATGGAGATTCAATCATTCTAAACAGTTATATATATACAAAGCCCAATCCAAATAAAATAGTACAAATTGAGTTTTGACTTTGGGTTGTGACAGACATTATTAAAAGTCAGAAGGCCCAAATGCCATAAATATTGTCTAATAAATGTTTGAAAGAGGAAAAAAATAGGTGATGGAACAAGCAAGTTGTAGAGATAGCCTTTGAAGATATTGAAGGGACATCTTATTCAAAACCAATGCTAGCTTGTTGGACTGATTGAAATAGAATAGTTTAGTTTAAGGGATTTTGGACAGGTTAGTTTGGAAAACAGTTTCTTTTAATATTCCTTTAAGTAAAACACTGAGGTTTGTATGTTAATAATAAACAAAAACAAAATTAAGTTATTGATTATGAAATTCTTATTGTGTTCACTTTGTTGTTATAATTCTGTTTCTATTTTCTAACTGTCGTCTAGTGGTTGGAATTTTTTATAGACAGACGACTATACATCATCCATTTAATTATCAGTTTGTTAGGATTAGTTTTATTTTATTTTATTATGTGTTTGCACAACAATTGGTGAACTATGCACTTCATACACTTTTAGAATTAGACAAATTGCATCGGTGTGCTGTGTTCGACACTCGTATGATACATGTTCAACATTCATATGACGTGTGTTACATGACTCACACAAAGTTTTAAAAAGTAATTTTGTTTAGACATTTTCTAGATTATCTTACAACATTTATATAACACTCATACAACAATTCACAAACCCTTTACCCAAACCTCTTATTTATTTTTGTTTTGGCACATTTTATACATAACACATGTCAGATGCATCTCTAAATATTAAAGATGTGACAAAATAATGTTAAACTATGAAAAACTAAAAATATTAAATGTAATGCCTTTAATTTTATTTATAGTTTCATGTTGATATTTTAGTTAATAAATATTATTTTTAAGTCCTTCAAAAATATCTTTACTAGTCAACATAGTCTTTTATGTTAAATTTTGTAAGAAAAACTTTAAGTCATAGAATTAGTAGGCATCCTAGTTGATATTTTTAATATGACATGAATTATTTTTATTATTATAATCATAAAACTCATAGATGATTGTGTACCCAAACATCTTTTACAAACTCTAGTTTTTAAGAAAAGAACATTGTAACACTTGACTCTACCCCGCACGCGTATTTATAAAAAATAAACAGAAATAATACATAAAAGTACATCAGATTTTCCTCAGCTAGTACAATGTTACACTAAGTCACTTCATTTTCCATCCATAAACCAACGATATTTAGTTTTCGATTAAAAATAGCGGAATAAATTCAATTCTTTAAACACAGTCTCCACCAATAGGAGATTATACATCCTTAATCCAACTGATAAAGATACGTAACAGTTAATCAAAATAAATAAGCAAATATAATGTAATTCGTCATCCCATGTTACGTATCAAAGCGACTCCTAGGACTCGATCAAACAGTAACACACTCCAAACACTACTCAGATACCTGGTCATCTGCACTCCCCAAGGAGCACAGACACAACAAACAAAAAACGGGGGGGGGGGGGGGGGGGGGGTGAGAACTACATTCAATAAATAAGTGGTGAAATGCACGTGCTAAGGAGTAGTCACACACCACACATATAATCACCCACATATAACGCACATACACGTGCCACATCAATTTCTCGACATCAATAGCCCATATCAAATACAATATGCAATGTGACTTAGTGATTCGACACAATGCATGTGGTACCAACACAATCACATACGGTTCACCCTAGAACCCGATTCCGGTCAGAATCCGTATAAGTCGTATATGTTCCTCTGAACTACAACTTATCTCCATAACGACCTCCACATGAAGTCCGAATGAAACTAGGCACCCATCATGGATTCCCACCTAGCCATCTTCACAAGACACATGACATGAAATGCATGGCAGCACAATTATGCAATATAATAATTCAAGCATAATTCACGGTCATCAATGATCCCCACGAGCCATCCGCTCACCGTAATCCTCTCGGGAATTACCACAATCGCACAAGATTATCCACATTCGATAATCATGGCTCACATCATCAAAACACACCCTTTAGGACACCCCTATATAATTCCACATTCACTCGATTTAATTCATTACTAATACTTAAGTTCATTTTAAACATATTAATCCTACCGATTAAACAGAATTGCGTTCCAAGCGAACACTGGACATGAATCACAGAAACTGGGGAAAAGTCATCCCAGACCTGTCCATACGCGTACAGCCTGCTGTCATACGCGTATGGCCCTCCCTTGCGCATAAGACCAGAGGCATCCACCTCCCAAAACCCTTCAGAGTCAAACCTTACGCGTATGACTACCCCCCATACGCGTATTGGCCAAGTCCATACGCGTACCATACGTGTATCGCCAGATGGCCGTGCTGGCACTGGGGACAGGGCACACATGCTACACATATAGCCCCTTGGGAAGTCCCTCATACGCGTATTAACACCCTCAATACGCGTATGACCAACAGATCTGTCAAAAACTCAGATCTCAACCTTCTCACGAGTTCCCTCTCTAGATCCATCATTCTACCTTCCCATTCATCCTAAAACTCATATTCTAGATCGATTCCATTAATCATATATTCTATTTTGTCAAGATTCCAATTTCTAGATCTAGTTTTCGGTTACGGGTAATCCTTAGTTTCAGATCTGTCAATCCACAGGATTCTATCACAGTTTCAGGGGATTTCTACACGAATTTCACATTCATACCAGAATCATGCATACAACATCATATCACGATTATTCAACAATCACAGTCATCGTAGGGAAATCATAATATCACAAAAATCAAATAAAAGACAAAACAGACGAAATTCCTACGAGAGAAAGAACCTTTCACTACCCTCTCATGTTAAATCACCCATATTGAGTTCCATTTCTCCCCTATTACCTCGGATTTGAGCTCTTTCTTGGCAACAATGGAAAAATCTTGGTCCTTTTTGCCCTAGCTCCTCTTTCTCTGTCTCTTTCCTCTTTTACGTTTTAACCGACTAATCCCACTAATACTCTCTTAACCCCCTTAATTAGAATTTAATTTATTTTAATTTAATTACTAATAACAATATTAATAATAATAATAATGATAATAATAATATTACTAATAATAACAATAATCATAACCATAATCCTATTAATATTATAATTAATAATAATTGAAGTAATGATATTAATAATCATAATGCTCCTCATTAAATTATACCTTGTTTCTAGGTCCACATTACCCTAGCTAAGGTCAGCTATCACTCACGCCCCTAACTTCATAACCTTAATTAAGGACATCACCTAATACACATCACAGCAAAATACAACAACGACTAAATAATTTAAATAGGGTGTTACAAACATGATCAAGCAAGCAAAGTTTCTCTCTCTCAACATTGTTTCGTTGCTTCACCAGTACACGATGAGCACGAAAATCATGTTTCTTTCACGAATCACTCACGATTCATCACCAAGGTTGTTTATTTTGTTTAAATTTTCAAAAATATTTATTTTATTTCACCATTCTGCATGTGAGTATTTTATTGAATTGTATTCCCATCATTTTGTTTATTTTGATTAGGATATGGATAGTATATTTGAGTGAGTCATAAACCATGGAAGGGGTTTAGGGAGTTTACAAAACAGGTTACAATAGTCTTGAGAGTGTTTAGGTTTGTAACCAAGATTTCATGTCCTTCTTTGAAATATTAAGTAGTTTTAAGGACTTCTTGAAGTTGCATGTCTCTAATATATTCAGGGGATAACTTTAATACGGTTTTATTGTTTGTCTTATAAGCTTTCATTTTGTTTATTATTATTTATTTAGTTTCCTCTTCAATTGTACATCTTTGGATTATGTTTTGAATCTATTTTTTAAGCATGCATAATTCAAGTGTTAGCAATTGAGTATGATTATTATGTTTTAAGTCAATTGATTGAATTAATGAAACAAGAACTGTATTTGATGTTGTTTAAGTTATCTAGGAAGTGAAATCTCAAACTATTTTAAAAATTTTAAATTTTAATATTTTTTGTGTGTGACTCGAATTAATCACAAGTTATGACTCGAATCAAATCAAATAGACGAGAACATGAAAATTTTGGTGTTAGTGACTCGAATCACGATTTACACTTTATTCAAATCACGCAACAGTGTGACTCGAATCACAAGTTACACATTATTCGAATCACACAAGTCATGTTAGTCATTCCCTAGTTTGATTCGAATCACACTTTCTACATGACTCAAATCACAAAATGTTTCACTTTTTCCTGTTTGGTTATGTCCATATTGATTCAAATAAGGCTTTGTACATGACTCAAATCAGAGATACAACTTGACTCGAGTCACAAGAAATGAGTCACTTCTTTTATGTTCATCTTATTCCACTCTACTTGCTCATTTGACACAAATTAACAATTGTTCTTAACTCGAATCTAACAAACATTTTTTGCCTATTTTTGTGCATAATCTCCAGCACATGTAAATTATTTTTTGTCATCTCATAACCAAGTGTTATTTTGTAATTTTTCAAATTTGTAAAATCAACAACCTCCATTTTTGAAAACTCAAAATTTATTGCAAACAATTTTTTTTCTTCATATTCAACCTCTAGTTTAGATTCAAATCTTGATGATGAAGATTTGTAATTGTTGAGGGAGACGTGTCTTGAAATTAACATTTCTTGAATATTTGTTAAATATTTTCAGGAGACCTGCAAGATTGTGGTTGTTGTGACTGGTGTCGACAAAATCTAGTGAAAAGAATGAGGTTGTTCTCTTTAGCATGACCTTGGTAGTGTTGTGTGGAAGCCTACATACAAGATAAGATTTCTTCTGAATCT